AAACAAACAGAGAGACCCGAATTATTGAAAAGGGGCCAGCTGTAAAAACAGCTTACAGAAGAACTATCTAGGGAGAAGGACATATATGTGCCAAGGCTCTGAGTTGGGAAACAGTTTGGAATATTCTAAGAACTAAAAGGCCGATATTTTTGGAGTATAGTGAACTAGTGGGAGCATCAACATACAAGTGGTAGTCGAAGCCATGAGAGTGGTTTGATTTTCCCTGGATAGTACATTGAAGAAGAAGAACAACAACAACAAAAATCAAAAGCAGAACATTGGAGAGAAATAACATAGAAGGGAGGTTCAAAGACGAATCTGTAAGGGAGATGAGAGGGAGCAGTCATAGAGGTGGGAAGAAAGGTAAGAAAGAAGGATATCGTGGAAGCCAAAGAAAGAAAAAGTTCCAACATTGTCATGACGTGTACAGAGTAGTCAAATAAGATAAAGGGGAAAAGAGGTCTGTTAGAATTGGCAATTAGGAGGTCATTGATGATTTTGGCCATTGCCCACTCAGAGAAGTGAGTGATGTGGGTAGAAGACTTAGTGTAGTGATGAGCTACACTATAGCTATGCTCTCCCTTAAATGTTTATTTTCATACCAGAGTACCTGCTTCATCCAGAGTTAGTTTAGTCTGGTGAAATTATTAGTGAGATTTCCCAGTTGCCAATCAGAAAACATTTATTAAGCATTCATTATCTGCATAGAATTACACTTGGTATTAAGGTGAAATAAAGGGTAGATTCCTATAATGTGGGTCTAAATTCAAGGTTCCTAAGAAATAATTTTTAAAACATGGCCCTCTAGCTTCACTCTCTGAAAAACATCTATTGTGTACCCTGAAGCAGCTTATTATTTGCTTGCCTAGACCTATAAGCACAGGAAATTGTAACAAGTCTATTGTGTCTTCCACAAAGCAGACCCAATACATTCTTAAAGGAACAGGCCACTTGTCTCTTCGGATAATTAGTCACTTTCGTACTCCTTTTCTATGCTAAAATGTATCTTACTATCAGTGTTTATGTGAAGAGGATACATGTGTGTATCTCCTGTATCCCATTTTGTTAAAAGATGAACTTCACTTGCTGAGTAGATTTTAGCTGTAATTTTCTCAGCACTTTGATGTTCACAATAAAGGAACTGTTGAAATATAAACCAAAAGAGTAAGTAATGAAGATTGACCTTCCCATTTTTAAGCCCACATTTGAGATCCATCATTCATCATTTCAGGCATTCTTTCAAAACATATTGAGAACCTGCTTACGGTGTTATGGTGGTGCAAAAGTAATTGCCACTATATAGTGGCAAAAACCGCAATTACTTTTATATATATTATATTATTATATACAATAATATAATATGTTGCAGACACTCTTGAGCTCTTCTCAGATCTACAGCATTTATATTCAGTACTTTTACATCTTTGTAATAACTTGTATACTGACTTAAGTTCTATTATTATCACATGCTGGTGTTAATGTTAACTAGTTCAGGCTCTCTGGAGAGTAGAGCCTGCTTTATGTTGATTTTGTATCCTTAAAGCACCTAGCATAGGTTTAGGTGAGGATATAGAGGGCACTTGATACTCTATTGATTTTATGATTGGATTTTAAATACTTATTTCTGTTTTCCCTGTTCTTTAGTTTCCTTCAGCATTTTTCAAAGGAAGAGTAAACATGTGTGCTGCATTTTGCTATGAGGTTTTAAAGTGCTGCACATCGAAGATTAGCTCAACCAGGAACGAAGCATCTGCACTTTTGTATCTTTTGATGAGAAACAACTTTGAGTACACCAAAAGGAAAACCTTTTTGAGGACACATCTACAGGTCAGTGAAAATAAAAGAGCCTCTTCATCTTTCTTCTCTTCAATCTTTAACCTCTAGATCAAGATCCAGAGCCACCCAACCCAGTCCAATACAGTGTGGCCATCTAGCACTTGATGTGTGGCTAGTCTAAATTTAGATGTTCTGAAAGTGTAAAATATGCTATGGCTTTTGAAGACTAAGTATGAAAAAAATAGAATATCTAAATTGTTCTATATTGGTTGTATGTTGAAATGATATGTTACCTGTATTAGGTTAAGTATATTAAAATAAGTCTCTTTTTAGTGTGGCTACTAGGTAATTGATAATTACGTATGTGGCATGTGTCATATTTCTACAGAATAGAGCTGCTCTAGAGCAGAGACATTACGACCATAGGCTCTATTTCAATTTTTTTTTGTTTGATTTTTTTTTTTTTTTTTTGAGACAGAGTCTCACTCTGTCGCCCAGGCTGGAATGCAGTGGCATGATCTCAACTCACTGCAACCTCCACCTCCCGGGTTCAAGTGATTCTCCTGCCTCAGCCTCCCGAGTAGGATTACAGGCATGTGCCACTATGCCCAGCTAATTTTTGTGGTTTTAGTAGAGACGGAGTTTCACCATGTTGGCCAGGCTGGTCTGAAACTCCTGACCTCAGGTGATCCACCCACCTCAACCTCCCAAAGTGCTGCAACTACAAGCATGAGCCACTGTGCCCAGTCTCTAGTTCAAATTTGAGGACTGCCACATACTATGTGACCTAGAACAAGTTACTTCCTTAGCCTCTCAGTGCCTCAGTTTCTGCAAATGTGGTAGGGTAAATATTGTTACCTAGCTCATAGGATTTTTATGAGGATTAAATGAAATGATTAAATAACAAGCTTGTTAGATTTTACAGAACAGATAAGACAGTTTATGTTTCTCATGCTCCAGTATGCCCACTTATTTTAAAAATGAGAGATGTCTCAAAGTTTAGTGGAAAGCATGGACTTCAGAATCAGGCCTACCTGCACTTAAATCATAGCTTAAATCCTTACATTTGCCGGGTGACCCTAAGCAAATCACTCAATCTGGCTAAACCTGTTTCCTTATTTGTAAAATGAGACTGAGTATTTCACTTTGCAGCATTACCCTGAGGATTAAAATAAGTTGTGTATGGTGCCTATAGTGCCTGACACAATGTGTAGCACAAGATAGCTACTTCCTACATGATAGTTATTATTCAGCATCTCCATACTTTTGGGTTTATTGGATGAAATAGCTCTGAACTAAACCACAATTGGGACTGCTTGACTCAGTAGCCCTCATCATAATATGAGAAATCCTTGGTCCTATTTATATCTTTACTGTCATGGTCTGTCCCATTGGAGCTGTTTACTGGAGACAAGATTGTTAATGGGGGGACAACCATAAGCAGCTTGTTGAAAAATGTCATCAATAATGTGAAAATCCAATAGGAATACTGTGTATGCTTCCTGTAAAAGTCTGCTATATAATTACTTTTGCATGTTAGAGTCAGCCATCATTACACATTAGCTCCTTTACTATTTGCTTTTATATGAGATGGCACTTGGGAACCCACCTTCCCCCAGAGCATTGTTCTAATTTGTGTGCCAATATACCTGAAATTCCCCCATTGTTATTCATTCTTCTGGGTCAAAGCATCAGTTTTCTTTAAGTCTTTTATTCAAATATAGACAAATTAATAAATGTGAAGACTTAGAACACTGGCACATAATAAATGCTCAATAAAGGATTAACTAGTACTCTAATGGTTATCATCTCTTTCATCCTCTACAAAGTAGGGATTTTTATCATAGCCACTTTACAAATGAGAAACATGAGGCACAGAAAGGTTAAATAGCTTTCCCAAAGCCACACAGTGAATTATTGATAGTCAAGATTTGTATCTAAGGCATTCAACTCTAGAGCCCATACCCATGGCTATTACTGTATCTTGCTTCCTAGGACCAGTGGTAAAGCATCCAGCCGTTAACATCTTAGCATGAATTGTTTTGGCAGTCACCCAAGAGAGACTGAGAGATTTAAAAGTCCCGTCAAAGGCGGTGGTTCATGCCTATAATCCTAGCACTTTGGGTGGCATAAGTGGGTGGACCACTTGAGCCCAGGAGCTTGAGACCAGCCTGGGCAACATGGCAAAATCCTGTCCCTACAAAAATACAAAAAATTAGTAAAGTGTGGTGGCACACATCTGTAGTCCCAGCTACTTGGGAGGCTGAGGTGGGAGGATCACCTGAGCCTGGGAGGTCGAGGCTGCAGTGAGCCAAGATCATACCACTGCATTCCAGCCTGGGCAACAGAGTAAGACCCTGTCTCAAAAAATAAAAAGTACCATCAAAGTCCATTGCATAAATTTTTGTTAAACTAGGTAAGCCCTGGTCAAAAACAAAGAAAGTTGCTGAGGCACTGGACTTGGAATTCCAGCCAACAAATAGACTAATGAAAAGGAATGAGAAATCATCAAAGAAAAACATGATTTATTCTCACCTTTGCCACAGCTACAACCTAAAAAGCATATTTAAAATGGAGACCTGACTACCATTGTATCAGTTCACTATTATGAAAATAGTTTTAGATCTGGCTGTCCTGTGAGTTTTGAAAAATTGTTACATCTAACCAAGAAAGATCCTTTAAAATTTGAAATGAGGCCTTTCAAGTTACGATTTCAGCAGAAGAATGTAAACCCCTCATATATGAAGAAAATGCATTATGCTGGTACAGTGTAGAATCTTTAAAAGAAGCATTTCATGTGAGTGCTTATGTACTTATAAAATGATGAGCATAGGCAGCATTTGTTCAAAAGGTATTTGGAAAATAATGTTTACTTCTTCCCACAGATAATAATTGCTGTAAGCCAACTGATAGCTGATGTAGCACTAAGCGGAGGATCAAGATTTCAGGAGTCTTTATTCATTATCAATAATTTTGCAAATAGTGACAGACCTATGAAGGTATGTTCTCATTTCAAATAATAAATTATAACCACCTTTACTATCAGGGAAGTCTAAACTCTTAAACTGTCATTGGATTCACAACTTTTGATAGTATAGAATGTACGGAATGTGAGTTTTATGAGTTAAGGGCTTTGTCTTGTACCTCACTATATCTCTAGTACCTAGAACGCTGCCTGGTACATAGCAGATATTCAATATCAGTTTAGTGGATGGATGAATGAATATACTGTGTATTCATTGTTGTTATGGCAAGTTGAATCTGAATTTTTTTTCTGGGCTTCATTTCCAAACTTGCTCAGAAAATATATGGATCCTTTATTTCTTAACAATTGTCACCACTTTTAATATTGGTTAAATAAGCACCGAATTTGAAATTTCACAAAATTTCACTTAGAATAGCTAACAGTTGCCTGATCCATTGCCAATGGATGAGGAATGGCACAGAAGGGATTCATTATTTGATGGTTTTGTGAGTTTTGAAAACTATCTGTTAACACCAAGGCTGTTGCTCTTAAGCACCAGTTTGCTGAGGCCAAACCCAAGACTCTGACCACTGTTCTGCTTTCTTTCCTATATGCTTAAAACTTACATAGCACTGTAAAAATGCATCTATTGCTTCGTTGCATAGAGTGCAGGTTCTGATCTTCGGTGACACATGAATACAAGGGAAGAAGAATCCTTTCCCAGTAGGACTTTTCCTCCCAGAAGAATGAATCATCCCCATTCTTGGGAAAGGTCATCTTCCAGCACAGTTTGACAATATTGTGTAAAATCTGAAAAAAATTAAAAGCTCATAGTCACAGCATATTTGATGTTTAGATGTGTAGAATCTATGTACCAAAAAATATTCCCACAGGAATGTTGCTTGCACTGAAAAATAACAGTGTGTAGTGCCAACCGCTCTCAGGCTGGGAAAGTTTGCTTTCCAGCCAGTTCTACTAGTTCCCCAGGGGATCAGTATATGCTCCAGCTAATCTCGTGAGCATAGAAACAAGTTACACCACTTATGCTTATACTCTAAGGAATTGTTTTTACCGGTTGTTACCATCCTTAATACTATGTTATATAGGTAGATTGGTAAGTTTTTCTGGGTAAATGGGGCTTGGATACTCTCTCCTTGATAGGAAATCTTTTTCTTTTCCATAACTCATTTATGAAATGACTTAGTTTTATTCTATTATGGCAGTCATTACCAACAAACCTTATTACAAAAAGATGTGCCTTTCCCCTGGTAAATGGGATCTCTATTTATAGAAAGGAACTTTATGTATATAATTATTATTTTTCAAGGGATTAAGTTTTTATTTTTTATTTTTATTGTATTTTTCCGTATTTATTTATTTAGAGACGGAGTTTCACTCTTGTTGCCCAGGCCGGAGTGCAATGGCCCGATCTCGGCTCACTGCAACCTCCACCTCCCGGGTTCAAGTGATTTTCCTACCTCAGCCTCCCGAGTAGCTGGGATTACAGGTGCCTGCCACCACGCCTGGGTAATTTTTTATATTTTTAATAGAAATGGGGTTTCACCATGTTGGCCAGGCTGGTCTCAAACTCCTGACCTCTGGTGATCCACTTGCCTTGGCCTCCCAAAGTGCTGAGATTACAGACATGAGCCACTGCTCCTGATCAAGAAGGCAGTTTTTCAAACCATTTCCCCCACATACTGTGTTCATATTGACAAGCGCCCTAACCCCTGTACCTGTCTCTACGTCATCATCTCTGAATCATGTAGATAATTGTGATTACTCCTGTGGGGGTTAAGAGGATGCAGTAGGACTTCCTTAGCAGTGGCTAGGGTGAAGAGGAAACTCTGGTATTCTTGGCGCCAAAGACAAACTTTGAAAACTTAATGATCTCTCTAAACTTTCTGGAATGTTCTGTGATTCATGACCTCCCATTTGTGTAAATAGAAATTTCTGCAGTATAGTTTTCACCTTAGTGTATGTGGTAGTTAGTGGATGGAGTAGGTATGCTCATCAGAATGGAAGGCTGACTAAGAGCACCAGCTCTAGGGCCAGACTGCCTAGGTGAAAATCCTGTCTCTACATTTACTAATTTTGAGACTTTCGTCAAGCATTTAAACACTTTTTTATAATAGTACTTCACTCATAGAGTTGTTGTAAAAATTAAAACCTGTAAAGAACCCAGACCAGTGCTTGGCACATAGTAAGCTATCAGTTTTTAGTTACTGTTACAAGAAATCGGCAAACAAAGATCACTCCCATGGCTGTGGAGTTCACAATGGAGGATCTGGGATTCAAAGCCAGGTAGTCTGACTCCAGAGCTAATGCTTTTATGTCCTGTGAATATACTGCCACCAAGGTTAGAGCCTTTGAAGCCTGGGCTAGTTACATATTTTAAAAATAATTTATTTAAAATTCTTTCAGTGTACTATATGCAACATACCAAGAACTGTAACAGGAAGTGAAAATCATATTATGTCCTCACCATTGGATGACAAGCTTTAGAGCACATCAATATTGTTGTCAAACATGTCTTTTTTGTTTGTTTTGAAATTAGGCAACTGCCTTTCCCACAGAAGTCAAAGACTTGACGAAGAGAATCCGCACTGTTCTTATGGCCACTGCCCAAATGAAGGAGCATGAGAAAGATCCTGAAATGCTAATTGATCTCCAGTATAGCTTAGCCAAGTCCTATGCAAGCACCCCAGAGCTCAGGAAAACCTGGCTTGATAGCATGGCCAAAATTCATGTAAAAAATGGAGATTTTTCAGAGGTGACTACTTAAAGTTTTGTTCTAAACAGCCTTTCAAAATACCTTGAGCATGTTCTGACAGTTCTTTCTCTGTCATCCTTTTTCAGGCTGCGATGTGTTATGTCCATGTAGCAGCTCTAGTTGCAGAGTTTCTTCATCGAAAAAGTAAGATATTTCTGTTTTTAGAGATGGGGGGGATTTTCTTTTAGCATAATAGTTTTTTATCTTTGTAGTTTAACTGTGATATAATTAAACGCTGAAGAATATGTTCACCCTTGGCCTCATTCAGTGTTAAAAATAAGCTGTTACAAAAGAAGACTGGATTGTTCGTTGTCCCTTCTGCTTTCATTAGAGATTACAAGAAAAGTGAAATAGTACAGGGTGGCCAGGTGCAGTGGCTCATGCCTGTAATCCCAGTGCTTTGGGAGGCCAAGGCTGGAGGATTGCTTGAGGCCAGGAGTTTGAGACTAGCCTGGGCAACAGAGTGAGATCCTGTACCTATTTTAAAATAAAATGTAAAATATATCAAAAAAAAAAAAAAAAGTACAGGGCCAGGCCTGATGCCCAGTGTTTATTTTCCAAGACTTTCCCTCCCTGGAAGGCTGCCACAAATTAAATTCTTCTCAAGGCTCAAGTCAGGATAACACAGATTATTTGTTTCCCCCTCATGTGTCTTAACATCACCGACTACCCATAGACTATGTCTCTCCAGCCACTTTAGTGCAGTGACACCTGGGTACGAAAGGGGAGTCATACTCTTGAAGGGTTTCAGGTCCAGCAGCCCTGGATTCCTAATTTAAGATTCCTAACTCAGGAAATCTACTCGGAAGTGTTCCTTTCCATAAACAGTATTGTTGACTACGCTCAACAGTATTGTTGAACAGATTGCATCTGCTCAAATAGTAACCCAGTTGAGTTAGGTTTAAACATCGATTGGCAGTGGAGATGGCAGCCAAGAAATCTCTATCTCAATGTCCAAGCTACTTCCTTTAAGGCAGTGGAATGAGTAACAATATGGCAAAAGGAAACCAAATTATTAAAGGAGTCATATCACTCTGGCTTCAGCTGTAGGAACACAGCCACATTTTGTTTTATTTTTTAATTCCAGAATTCCTATAGTTAACTATATATCTGTCATTTCACACTGAGGCTCAGTGTTTGATTGCCTCACATAACACCCATGTGGAGAATTTTTTTCTAAAAGGATTCTTGGCCGGGTGTGGTGACTCATACCTGTGATGTCAACACTTTGGGAGGCATGGGTAGGTGGATCACTTGAGCCCAGGATTTTGAGACCAGCCTGGGCAGGAATGGTGAAACTCTATCTCTGCAAAAAATACAAAAATTTGCTGGGCATGGTGTCACATGCCTGTGGTTCCAGCTACAAAGGAGGGTGAGGTAGGAGCCATAGCTTGAGCCATAGCTTGAGCCCAGGACACTGCACTCCAACCTGGGTGACAGGACAAGACCCTGTCTCAAAAAATAATAAATAAATAAATAAATAAATAAAATTTTAAAAATATTCTTCTCAAATATAATTAAAATGTGGATTCATTTTACTTGTATTTTAAATTAACACTTTCTGTCTGACTCTGGAATTCTTTTGAACAATCTATGTGTTTGATATACTTTAGTTTTCTCCTTTTAGTATACATATGTGAGTTTTAAACAGAAAAATAGATTAATTACCAAAATGAGGCTCCATTTGAGGGTTTTTAAAAAAATCACTGGTATGCATATGAAATCACAGTATAAGTAAATATTGAAATTACACACCTGAAATTCCAACTAAACTGACAGATATGAGAATCTTAAATGGAGTACTGTGATTTCAAGTATGTCTTCAGAGAAATAGGTTAATATTATCTTATCTTTTTAATTAGTAGAAATCTGGCCAGGCATGGTGGCTCACGCCTGTAATCCCAGCACTTTGAGAGGCCAGGGCAGGTGGATCACCTGAGGTCAGGAGTTTGAGGCCACCCTGGACAACATGGTGAAACCCTGTCTCTACTAAAAATACAAAAATTAGCTGGACATTGTGGCACACACCTGTGATCCCAACTACTTGGAAGGCTGAGGCAGGAGCGCTTGAACCGGAGAGGCAGAAGTTGCAGTGAGCCAAGATCTCGCCACTACCCTCCAGCCTGGGCAACAAGAGCAAAACTCCATCTAAATAATAATAATAGTAGTAGAAATCTGAAGATTTTTATGTCCACTATGTCTAAAACTGTACTTTTTAGATTTTGAAAATAGTTAATTATATTAAAACTATTTCCCTGGAATGTTTTTGTTTTTTTCACGAGTGCAAAGACATTAAAGCTAAGGAAAAATCAAGAATTATTTATTTGTATTATCAGTCCTTAAGCTTTAGAAATAGAATTTCTTGCTATGGTTTTTCTGTTATCATGAGGCAACTAGCATAAACACCAAACTGATACGTTTCAGGAAGTGGGAATAATATTTTTAACTAGCCGTTTATGTATTTCATAATACCCTCAAGGTTTTTTAGAATTTATCCTTCATAGAAATCAAAGCACTCTTCGCTAATGAGAAGAAAATATTGTTTTGAATGTTAAACAAAAAATAATGTTTAAGAGAATTTACATGTTTATTTATAGGTGTCATCTATTTTTAAATTTCTTTTAATTAAATTTTATTTTATTTTAAGTTCTGGGATACATGTGCAGGACGTGCCGGTTTGTTACATAGGTAAACATGTGCCATGGTGGTTTGCTGATGCCATCTGTTTTTAAACCTGCAACACTATTTGCCTAAATTAGAAAATCTTATTCTAAAATAGTGGTAGTAGTAAAAGTCTTAAGGGTTTTCCCCACTTAGTTTCAGTGATCCAAAACACCTTTTTTTTCTTAATTAGCTGATTCAACTATACTAGCTATACCAAGGTCGACTACTGATTTAAAACACAAGTTAAAAACGTAAACTGAGTATTATTCTAAGTGAACTAACTCAGGAATGGAAACCAAATATCATATGTTCTTGCTTATAAGTGGGAGCTAAGCTATGAGGATGCAAAGGCATAAGAATGATATAATGGACTTTGGGGACTGGGGGTGGGGGCCAGAGAGGAAAAGACTACACATCGGGTACAGTGTATACTGCTCAAGTGACAGGTACACCAAAATCTCAGAAATTACTGCTAAAGGACTTATCCAGGTAACAAAAAATCACCCATTCCCCCAAAACTATTTTTTTTTTAAAAAAAACCTGTTCTCCCATCCATTCTGAGAAAGCATTAGTGAGCTGTTTGAAGTCTAGATAAGACCTGGCAATTGACAGAGTCAATGAAAATACGTTTGAGTGCAGAACTGAAAAAAAAATCATTGAATTTACACTTAAGACCAACGTATTTGACAAAGATAATTTGGCACCTTTAGAACTCTTTGTTTTCTATCATTAAGTGCCCTTTGATAATGAGGCCAAGAGGGAAGGAACATTAGAATATATTTTAAATCCGTTACATATCCATTGCCAAAAATGTTTTGTTTTCTCTAATTCCTAACCAGTTTCTCTTGAAGTAGACTATAAAACATTTTTAAATCAAGATGGAATAAAATACTACTCCTCAGTTGACACATTGGAAGCAGATGTTCTACTGTGTAGCATTTTTAAGGGAAAAAATACTTTGTCCTATTGGATCATTACCTAAGCAGGGAAGGGCTTAGGGGCCCTTGCCCCTCGAAGGTGACTACACAGCACCCACAAGGGACCATTTCCAGGTCCTTTTCTTCACTGGGTCAGGCATTGAACTGACAGGAAAACGGAAAGGTGGTATGCAATTCTCCCTGCCCCCGCTCTCACCCTGCCCTCAAACTTCTTTCAGGCAGCCTGAGCTCTTGCTTGTTCTACCAGAGAGACTTAAGGATCACTAGACTTAAGGATCACTATTCTCTTCCCTTTATTGAAGACATCTCAAAGTGGTAATACTGAGTGTCAGCTATTCTCCTCCCTCCCAAAAAATATAAAATAAAAATGTCAGAATTTGCTTATTTTTGTTTTGTTTGAGAACCTCAAAATTTCTAGATCACATTCTCCCTTTTTTCTTTTCCCAAGAGAGGATACAAATGTTTTCCCCAGGGAAGACAAGAGTCAAGTCTCTGCATTCTTTCACCACCAAACAGTATCCTAGGTTCAGCAAAGCTTCGGGCTTGCAAGGATTCACCCATCAACTCAGGAAAAGGAATTTCCTTTCCCATAGAGTCTGGTTTTTTTTTTTTTTTTTTTCATTCCTTATAGGGTAATGTTGTTCTCTTTCCCAGGTCTTTCTATCCAGGATCTGATAGCTTGAGTTTCATGAAGCTTTTTATTCCCTCATTCTTTCCTAGTCATAGCTTTTTCCCTTCTTATCCTCCCCTCAGGACTCTTAGCTCTTATCCTTCTTCTGCCTAGCCATCCTTTTTTATCAAGGGTTGCACTACTATCCCATCTTCCACACCCCTTCCCACTTTTTTTCACAGGATATCTTGTATTCAGGATTGTGGTTTCTATTTGAGCAGTTTCGATCTTGTTTCCCCTGGGACAGCAGTCAGGAATACAGAAGTTACAGCTATAAACGGCAAGGTCAAGAGTCCTGGTCAAATACCAGAGAAACTGACAGCAGACTCTCCAGGACCACCCTCTACAGGGCTGCATAGGTCTACATGAGATCCCTCAAACAGATCCCTCCTTCTGTTGGGATATGTACACTGGCCAATTCTAGACTCAACAACTTGTTTCATCTGAAAATCTTTCTAGAACTAAGAGGAATCAGGATTTTCTCCAAGCATTTTAAAGAATCTAACAAGCAAAGGGTCCTGATATATAATTGGATATTGATGGGTGTTGATAACTTTAGCAAAAAGGGGGAGGAATATAGTCATCTCTGGGTAGAGATACATTATCAGGCAGATGCATTAAGATAACACATTTATTAAGAATATTGGATTCTGAAGCTGAAAATTCACGATAGTAGTCTTTGCACTAGATAACCCAGACACAACTTTCAAAAGTGGGTGTTTATGTCTTTGTTCCTGAGATAAGACATAATTTTCCCTACTTCTACTTAAGATACACCAGAAGACTCTCTAGCAAGATGCTTTTAGCCTCATCTCATCTCTGGCATAGGAGTGTGCCTTTCTTCATCCTCCCTTAAATCCCAGCATTCTAGAAAAGCCCTACATTTGGAAATCACTTAAAGTAATAATCTCTTTTGAACAGATGGGATTTTTTTTTTCCCAGTTATGGACCTAGCTGCCTGAGGCCTTCAGGGTTTGACTATCTTCTTCAATAAAGGCTATGTTCTTTGTCTCTTCACTCAAGTCTTGGGCCCTCTTCTTTACAGCCCAGCGCTTGACTTGATAGTGGTGATCAAGTGGAATGGTTTTTTCTCCATTTCAAGAAGTTCTCCTAATGCACTACTGCACAAAGAGTATCCCACAAACCAGCTGCTAGTCTGAGAACTGTTTATCACATGTTTACAACAAGATAAGGAGTATCGTCATGAATGTAAATGAACCATGTCACTAAACACTCTGTTTGTCCAACTGACTTGTTCCTTTTCATAGACTTTGTTGAAGAAGGAAATGAGGAATTGATTTACATTCTGGTGAAAGTTCCTTATCTTTTTATGGCCCAGTACTTTGAATAGAACTCTCTAGAGGTCTGTAACAGACCATTTTAGTCATGCTTATCTTCAGAAATGAAGCAGGCTATGTTTTATCTCAGTGCCTTTTATTTCTTCTTCTTCTTCTTCTTCTTCTTCTTATTATTATTATTATTATTATTTTGAGATGGAGTCTTGCTGTGTCACCAAGGCTGAAGTGCAGTGGTGATCTCGGCTCACTGCAAGCTCTGCCTCCCGGGTTCATGCCATTCTCCTGCCTCAGCCTCCCGAGTAGCTGGGACTACAGGCACCTGCCACCACGCCCAGCTAATTTTTTGTATTTTTTTTTTTTTTTAGTAGAGATGGGGTTTCACCCTGTTAGCAAGGATGGTCTCGATTTCCTGACCTTGTGATCTGCCCATCTCGGCCTCCCAAAGTGCTGGGATTACAGGCGTGAGTCACTGTGCCCAGCCGGATGCCTTTTATTAACTACTTTATTTGAACAAAAATGGTCCTACAGCTTGGTGGGTCAAAGTAAATATCATTTTCATTCCTGGGTCTCCTTCTTCCTTAATTAAAACTCACTGACTACTCCCATGTATTTCTCCCTTCTTGAAAAAGTATTTCAAAGCCAGGCGTAGTGGCTTACGCCTGTAATCTCAGCACTTTGGGAGTCCGAGATCGGTTGGATCACTTGAGCTCAGGAGTTAGAGACCATCCTGGGTAACATGACGAGACCTGGTCTCTACAAAATATATAAAAATTCGCCGACTGTGGTGACTTGCACCAGTAGTCCCAGCTACTGGGGAGGCTGAGGCGGAAGGATGGCTTGAGTCCGGGAAGTCAAGGCTGCAGTGAGCTATGATCAGGCTACTGCACTGCAGCCTAGGCGACGGGGTAACACTCTGTCTCAAAAAAAAAAAAAAAAGTGTTTCAAAATAACCCTATCTTCCCCTAGCAGACTTTCATCTTTCTGTCAAAGAAGTGTGGTTCCTACTTCTATGTGTGGTTCCTACCCATGTTCTGTTCAAGCATCTTACCCAGAAGATATATGTCTAGTGATTAGGTTTCATTTAGACAAGAAGAGTTGGAAAAATCCAAGCCCTGATATATAACCTCTTTTCCACCAGAATTCTGAGAAATCTCTTCAACTTGAGGTCTGATTTTTTTTAAACCTTCCTTCTTCCTTCCCCAACCTCTAACAGGAAGATTACCAGTACTTAGTTGTAAGTAAAGGTTATTATTTGTAAGTATCACTGTTAGATTGTAGAACAGTAGATTGCAACAGCCATTTGTGTGTGTGTGTGTGTGTGTGTGTGTGTGTGTGTGTGTGTGTGACTAGCTCCTATTGGAAGGAAACTTTTTCATTGAAACTTTTTCAATGGTTATGTTATAAAGAGGCAGAATTTTCCTTGAACTCTAAAAGTACAGCCCACTTAGATAAAGGTCAAGCAGACACAGTAGGAATGTTTACACATGTTCCCCTGTCTAGAATCTATAGGGGAACCATGAGGCCTTTACACCTAGACTCTTGCTTGACAGTAACAATTTGGTCCAGAAGCCTACAGCAGGTGTTCTCAGCTTGAGTTCACTTCCTACTTCCCAGGAGTCCAGCTGGCAGCAATTATTTTATTCTACCTTGAGAAGGCTAGTTTTTTTACTGGTAGGCTTATTTGCTAATAATAATTCATTGAGTACTTATGTACTAGGCTCCATTCTAAACACTTTACATTTCATTTATAGCGTAGTTATTATTCCTGTTTTATAGATGATAAAACTTTTTATAGTCCCAGGGAGATAAGCATTAGCAGAAAATCACACAGTTAGTGACAGAGCTGAGTCTATGTAACTGCCAAAGTAATGGTTCTTTCAGTGCCCCATCCTGTTTTCTCTAGGATGCTTCATCCCTGCCATCTGTTTTATTTCCTGACTCTTAAAAGTCCTAAGCCAGACCTTCTCCAACATCTCACTTCCTCTCCCACATCTCAGTGAAATTAGGCACTAGACATGGTTACCAAAGATCACTTAGTGGTTACCTGAAAAGTGCCTGCCCTCTTGTTTAGATGATAGAACACAAATGTATATAGGATCAAAGTTTAAATAAATGTTTAGATTGTACTAGGTGAACATCTATACTAGCCATTGAAGATGATACATAGTCAAAGAATAAAACTTACTCATAAGTAACTTAAGCTCACTTTGTAGGGGAGAAGCTAATAAAATATGTAGTAGATGGAAACAAATTTAAAAATTTTTGCAAGTGAAAATTGTACTTAAGACTTTGATTCTTACAAAAATATGTTTTTATTTTAAATAGCCCATCTCTGTAAGGCTCACTGTTATTTACTAAATGCTTTCTCATAAATTTACTCCACTGTTTTTTTTATTCACACAGAATTATTTCCTAATGGATGTTCAGCCTTCAAGAAAATTACTCCCAATATAGATGAAGAAGGAGCAATGAAAGAAGATGCTGGGATGATGGATGTCCATTATAGTGAAGTAAGGATTCCAGGGCCTGCATTGCCAGTTATATAAATTTCACTTCATAAAATTCATGTATATTAAACAATTATTACAGCTAACCTAATTTTGAAGGTAACTAAGGGTTAGTGAACTTTAAGTATTAAAACTGTCCAGTCCAAAGATGTTCCTGTTTAGAGGATCCTGTCTCTTGAACTGGTCCCATTGTCTAGTTTTAGAAATGCAGCATTTGCCATCCTCAAGTCACCATCCCAGTAACTAGATAAGAGTCAACATATGTTGGAAATTTTTCCATAAAAAATAGAGTTAACATTGTTTTTTTCTTCAGCTAAGACAGAGTATGTCCAAAAGTATTTTTAAATGGAAAATTTCTGCTCTAAATGCCACATGGATAGAAAACAGCTTTGGCTGTCAAATCAACCACCAAAGATTTATTGGACATTAACTTAAGAGCAAGGCCCTGGACTTGGTGACCTAGGAGCTTTAAATAATTAGATATGACTAGTCCCTGACCTCCAAGGTCCACCTGAAGAGATAATACATGTACATGAAATGGAAAAAAGACTTTTGAATAATATTTGAATAATATAGACAATATGTGCCATGCAAAGTCAAAGGTGAAAGATGCCTTAGAGCTCAGGTAGACTAGAGGAGGTATGATCAGAGAGGGACTGGAAGAATGAGGACAGCCTGAAGGCATTCTAAGAGACAGGAGAAGAGCAGGGACCATGACTAAGAGGTAGGGAAGTGTAAGACATGTTTGAGGCACAGTGAGTGGATCCTTTTGGCTATAGCAGTAGGTTCCCATAGAGAAGAGTATTAGTTGAGGCCAGATTTTGAGAAACTTTCAATGTTTGGGCTTTATTCAGTAGAATATTGAATTGGTATCAAAGTCTTTTTTTTTTTTTTTTTTCTCCAGGAGTCTTGCTATGTCGCCAGGGTGGAGTGCAGTGGAGCAGTCTCGGGTCACTGCAACCTCTGCCTCTCGGGTTCAAGTGATTCTCCTGCCTCAGCCTCCCGAGTATCAGGGACTACAGGCATGCACCACCATGCCCAGCTAATTTTTGTATTTTTAGTAGAGATGGGGGTTTCACCATGTTGGCCAGGATGGTCTCGATCCATTGGCCTCATGATCCGCATGCCTTGGCCTCCCAAAGTGCTGGAATTACAGGCGTGAGCTACCACGCCTGGCCTCAAAGATTTTTGAGCAGGATAATGACTACATGAAAGCAAGGAAGAGGGAAGGCTAATTTGGTGATGATGTGGGAGAGGTATTGAAGATACAGGGATAGGAGCTAGAGGCAGGGGCTAGAGAGAAGGCTGCCCTAATTATCCAGATACGAGTAGTTAAGGCTTAAACCAGGGTATTGAAAGATTCAGGAAACAGTGTGAGGAGAAGATGATGATTTGCTGGCTGTGGGAGGGGAAGGGTCAAAGGTAGCTCTAAGATTTCAGATTTGGAGGTTAAGGAGAAATGATAGATGGATGGTTTTGCAGGAAAAATGATGAATTTCATTTTATAGGTGAGTTGATTTTGAAGTGAAAGCTTATCAATATGGAAATAACCATCAAGCCATTAGAAATGTGGAACTGAGACCGGGCTCAGTGGCTCATGACTGTAATCCCAGTACTTTGGGAGGCCGAGGCAGGTGGATCACCTGAGGTCAGGAGTTCGAGACCAGCTTGGCCAACATAGCTCTACTAAAAATACAAAAATTAGCCAGGCGTGGTGGCACCTGCCTATAATCCCAGCTGCTGGAGAGGCTGAGGCAGGAGAATCACTTGAATTCAGGAGGTGGAGGTTGCAGTGAGCCAAGATTGTGCTACTGTACTCCAGCCTGGGCAACAAAGTGAGACTGTGTCTCAAAAAAGAAAAAAAAAGAAATAAGGAACTGAATATAAGGAGAGAGTTTAGGGTTAGAAATACACATCTGGAAGTCATATCCTTATGAGAACCAAAGCAGACTGAATGTTAGACATAATACAGTGAGTGAAGACCAGAGAATCAAGGACTGAAGCATGGGGGAAAGTTCACAAAGAGTGTGAACATAGAAAACAAGAAAGAAACACAGAAAAGCAGAGATTGCAGTTATAGTGCCATAAAATTACATTTCTTAAAAAACTTGTATTAAACAATGAGATTAAAATTACAGTGACATACTTCATAAATACTTTATGAGTTGATTTTTAAAAATACACAAATCTCAACTTAGCTCTGGTTTATTTAATGATCCACCTAGAAGCTTTACCTACTATTTATACATAGTCTCTCTCCCTATCAGTAAAATAAGGACAATAATACTATTGTGGTCACTTCACAATACATGTGAAAACTTAAAAAGTCATGAAGTGTGAGAATAATGTCAGGTTTTATCATTGACCTACTTGGCAGTGAGATTTCTTAAAGTCAAGTTGGTGTCCTTTTACCCTCAGAACCTACAAGGATAGATACTTAAAATATGTTTGCTGAATTAATTGATCATAACAGAGACACAAGATACTTGAATTTTTATTCCAGCTCGATTTTTGACTGTGTAGCCTTGGACAAGTTAATTCATGTTTCTGGATCTTAGTTAGATGATTTCCCAGAGACCTGCAGGTTTTACAGGCTGACAGCAGAAAGATTTAGAGGATTTCATGGGGCTTAACTGGTTCAGTACAATTGAACTTATACCCTTGCCTTCTAAACAGTAGCTTCAGTGTATTCATAGAAATGCCTTTGAGCTCGACCCTTTTTTATACTCTTAAGGAGAGCAGTAACTTTTCTTAATAATCAAAAACCATAATTAGTTTTATGTATAAACACATTTGTTGGAAATCTTTTGGGTTCTACAAGTAATTTATACATACTTTTATTTGATATATACAGGTAGAATCATGTTCTATCAAGTGCCACTTTATGTTTCAGTTTGCATAATAAGGCTTCTTCCTTATACCCTAGCCAATTAAAAAAAAAAACTAACACTGATTTAGAAGTTACATTGAAATGAAAAATACAAACTGTTGTCCATTTAGTGCTTGTATTTACATATGTGAGTTAAACCGGTAATAATGCAATGTAACTTGTTTCCAAAAATGTATTTCTGACTTGATTTGCAACAGTCTTTTTTTTTACCCATGACACCACCTCAGGAGGTCCTGATGACATGTGCCCCTGCAATAGATTTTAAACATATAATTAATATATAATTGGGCTGGGCATGGTGGCTCACACCTGTAATTCTAACACTTTGGGAGGCCAAGGCAGGCAGATCACTTGAGGCCAGGAGTTCAAGACCAGGCTATCCCACATGGTGAAACTCCGTCTCCACTAAAAATACAAAAATTAGCTGAGTGTGGTGGCACAGGCCTGTAATCCTAGCTATTCGGGAGGCTGAGGCACAAGACTCTCTTGAACCTCAGGGGCAGAGGTTGCAGTGAGCCAAGATCGTGCCACTGCACTGAAGCCTGGGCAACAGAATGAGACTGTGTCTCAAAAATAAAAATAAAAATTATATAATTAATACATAGTAAAATCTTAAACAATTTGATGAATTTTGACAGTTGTATACACCCATGTAACCATGTAATCAGAAACAAAAAAATAGAACATGCCCATTCCTTCGGAAAAGGTTCCCTTGTGCCCATTTCCAGTCAGGCTCCCCACCTTCACCATCTGATTTCTATCACCATGAATTAGTTTTTATGGCATATAAATGGAATCATTCAATATGTACCTTTTTTTTTTTTATCTGACTTCTCTTGTTTAACCTAATATTTTGAGATTCATCCATATTGTTGGGTATATCAAAAGTTTGTTCTTTTCCATTTTCTTTATATACAAATTTTAAATCCATTCAGTTAATGGGATTTTGAATTGTTTCCAGTTTCAGGTTGTTATGAATAAGTCTACTTTAAACATTCCTATCTATGACTTATTGTTGACATATGCTTTTTTTCTCTTGGGTAAATATCTAGGAGTGGCATTGCTGAATCCTAGGGAAGATATATATTTAACTTCTAAGAAATTTCCGAAGAGCTTCTCAAAGTGGTTGGACCATTTTATACTGTTTGCCAGTAGTAGATGAGAGTTCTATTTGCCCCACATCCTCCCTAGCATCTGATATTGCTAATCTTTTTAAATTTTAGCCATTCTATTAATATTAGATGTGAATCAACATCTCATTGTGGCTTTTATTTGTATTTCCCTAGTAACCGATGATGTCTACCACTTTTTCAGATGTTCATTGGCCTCTTTTATATTTTCTTTTGTGAAATGTTTGTCTTTTATCCATTTTAGAAATCACATTGCCTACTTTTTATTGTTGTTTTGTGGGAGTTCTTTCCTGCATATAAATCCTTTGTCAAGATGTGTGTGTTGTATATTTATTTACCAGCTTCTGACTTGTCCATTCACTTTCTTAATTGAGTCTGTGGTTGAGCAGAAAATTTTGGTTTTGGTTGTAATTGATGAAATCCAGTTTATTATTTTATAATAATTTGTTCTTTTTGTATCTGGTCCCAAAAATCTTTGCCTACCTCAAGATCCTGATAGTGTTGTCCTGTGTTTTCTCCTAGAAACTTTGTTTCTGAGTTTTGTTTAGGTCTGTAATATATTTAAAGTTCATTTGTGAGCATGGAATGAGATAGAGGTCAAAACTTTTTTTTTTTTTTTTCTGGACAGTTAGGTGGTACATACCATTTGGGGAAAAACAAGACTTTCCTTTTGTCACATTGAATTTACTTTGGCACCTTGGTCAAAAGTTCGTTTCTTCATATTTGTGTGGGCTATTTCTGGATTCTCGGTTCTCTTCCATTGCCCATCTTGATGCCAGTATCACACTTGATTACTATAACTTAAGTCTTGAAATCAGGTAGTGTTAGCCCTCCAGCTTTATTGTTTTTCAGAGTTGTTTTGGCTATTCTACATCCTTTGAATTTCCACATAATCTTTAGAATCGTCTTTTCTATATCCTCAAAATAGCCTGAGAATGGAGAGTTTAACAATATTGAATTTCTCAATCAATGAACGTTTATTTGGGTTATCTTTAACTGCCAATAATATTTTGTAGTTGTTAGGGTAGAAGTCTTGGGTTAGATTTATTGGTAGATATGTGATGTTTTGATGCTATTATAAATAATATTGTTTGCTTTTACATTTTCATTTTTTAATATGTTGTTGCTAGTACATAGAAATATAATTGATTTTGTATGTTGCTCTTATGTCCTGCAACCTTACTAAGTCTGCTTATTAGTTTCCGTAGTTTGTATGTTTTTTAGGATTTTCTACATACACAATTATGCCATATGCACAGAACAATTTGACTTTTTCTAATCCTGTATGTCTTTTCTCTTTCTCTTGCCTTATTGTACTGGCTAGAACCTTCAGCATAATGTTGGATATAAGTGGTGGGAGCAGACATTCTAACTTGTTCTCAATCTTAGGAGAAACATGTCTAGCCTTTAGATTTTTAATAAATGCCTTTTATCAGATTGAGGAAGATCTCTTCTGTTCTTTGTTTCTTGAGTTCTTTTTAAATATCATGAATGGATGTTAAGTGTTGTAAATGCTTTTTTCCTGCATCTATTGAAAGAGATGTGATTTTTCTCTTTTATTCAGTTTATGTGGTTGTATATTACATTTTTTTAAATTGTAACCTAACTTTACATTCCTGGGATAATTCATACTAAGTGTGTACCCTATATTTAATTCCCCCAATGTTTGTCCCAAAATTGCTGGAAATTTTAATTTGGCTAGCAGGCATTAATATATAGATATTCTATTCAAGTAGCAACATTTATTTCACATATACTATCCAGTGACACTAAAATAATTACTGGAAAAGCCAATATAAGTAAAATATTGTCCCTACTCTCAAAGAATCATAGCCTATTGGAAAAGTCAGATATGTAGATAATATGTAAATAATGTACAAATATAGTGATAAATCCTTACCAAAAAATTAATGAAATAGAAAAAAAGATGTGTAGTGTCTTGCCTACCCTGTATTGATAAGGAGAAGGATCCTGGAAAAGGTGTTACCTAAAGTGTTTTAAAGAGATTAACCAAGTAGAAGGGATTAAAGGGAGGAAGGCACAGCCTGAACAAAGACATAAAGCTAAGACACACCATTGTGATTCAGGGAAACTACTTAGTTCACTGTTGTTATAACATAAAGTACAAAGTTTGGTATGATGAATGATGAGATTATGGAAGTATCAGCCACATCATTGCAAGCTTTGTGTCCCACATGAAGGAGCATGTCCGTTGTTCTGTGAGTGATGCGCAGCCATTGCCAGATTTTAAGAAAGGGAGAGTGACACGCTCAGGTTTGCATTTTAATCAGAACCCTATGGCAGATGTGTGGAAGATGTATTTGAAAGGGCCAAGACTGGAGGCAGGAAGATAAATTAAGAAAAAAAAATAGGGAAATTTTGCACCTTAGCAATAAGAGAAATGGAGAGAAAGGGTCAGATTTGAGAAATATTTAGGAAGTAAAACTGGCAGGACTTGGTGATGAACTCATTATAGAATGAGTAAAGAAAGAGGGTGTGATAGTTTCATAGATATCTTAGCCTATTTGGGCTTCTGTAACAAAATACCAGAGACTGGGTAGGTTATAAACAACAGAAATGTATTTTTCACTATACTGGAAGCTTAGTAGGTGAAAATAAAGGTGTTGGCTGACTTGGTGTCTGGTGAGGATCCACTTCCTAATTCATACATGGTATCTTCGCACTGCACCCTTATGTGGTGGAAGGGGGTGAGCTAACTATCTGGGGTTCTTTTTATTAGGGTACTAATCCCATTCATGAGGGCTCTGCCCTCATGACTTAGTCATCTCCCAAAGTCTCCACCTCCTAATACACCATCACCTTGGGGGTTAGGATTTTAACATATGAATTCTGAGTAAACACAAACATTCAGGCTGTAGCATTAAGACTGCAACATCAAAGTACCACAAATTAGGTGGCTTAGAACAAGAGAAATTTATTGTCTCACAGTTCTAGAGTCTAGAAATATGCAGTCAAATTGTCAGGGCCATGCTCCCTCTGAAACTCTGGGTAGAAGCCTTCCTTGTCTTCTGGTGGTAAGAGTTGTTCCTTGACTTCCCTTGACTTGTGGCTGCATCACTCCAGTCTCTGTCTCTGTAGTCACATGGTGTTTGCCCTGTGTGTCTCTGTCTTCATATAAAGATACCAGTCATACTGGGTTGGGGCCCACCCTAGGCCGGTATTGCTTCAACGATCATATCTGCAATGACTCTGTTTTCAAATAAGGTCACATTCTGAGGTGCTTGGGGTTACAACTTCAACTTACCTTTTTGGGGGACACAATTCAGCCCATAACAGATGATCAAGTCAAAACTGCGCTTAGTTTGCTACCTAAGGGTCTATAGGGTATTGCCACTGGCAAGATAGGAAACACAAGTATAGATGATGAATTCGATTTTCTAAAGGACATACGGGAAGAGCTGTTTTAGCGATCAGTTCTATAGGTCTGAAGTGCATCTCTTTAAGATAGAAACAGGCTGTTATGACTTATGGGTAGCATCAGTAATTGGCTTCATGTTTTCATGGTTGAGAACATGAGATGATGGTTCACAAAGGAGTTTTATAGCAACTGTTATTCTGGCAGGGCTGGTGATCTCTATCTTGAGCTGTTAGCCTATCGTTCTCAGTAATTTTAGAACCATCAGTTGGGAAGTGTTCTTTATCAAAACTGAATCATTTTAATACCAACCCACAAAAATAAAAACTAAAAAAACGTTTAAAACATCGAATCATTTTAATAAACACCTAAATCACCAACACAATATTTGAAAATGTTGTCAATTTTTCTTAAGACTGATATGGGTAAATATTGTTTTAATATAAAAAATAATGGATGTTAGACATTCAGACATCCTCAATTTGGAATAAACAATATATTCCCTTTTTAAAAATACTCTTTCTCTATATGTTAACATTTGCAACTGTCGTTAACATCTTCATTATGTGAATAAACAAAATAATCATAGTTTACTATTGTTAACATCAATTTTATATTTTTAAGAATGTTTTTAACTTTAAATACTTTAAATATTTGATTTATAAAATATTGTCACACAAGTATGTTCCTTTTGTGCATCTCATTGAATTTAGTACCATCTGTTTGTTTTCTACCAACTTGAAATGCTTCAAAATTTATTTGTCCAAAACTCTAAAACTATTTTTAATTCCTAATTGGATTTTTCTCTTAATGCAGGAAGTCTTGCTGGAGTTGCTAGAACAATGTGTGGATGGCTTATGGAAGGCAGAACGTTATGAAATAATTTCTGAGATTTCCAAGTTGATCATTCCAATTTATGAGAAACGTCGTGAGTTTGAGGTAGACAATTTGAACATTTTTATCATTGACTTACGTATTTTACTTTGGTTTTAGGGAAAACAGTAATATAGTTCTGTTACTATTATTCTACTCGGTGTCCTCTGAAGAATATAAGGTTCATTAGATTATGACTTTTGTATTTTATCATAGAATATAGATAGTCTATCATTTTGACACATTTGTCCAATTTCAAAGTGACAATCCCTAAAAAGGCTATTAAATCCTAAGATTTTTTAATGTTTTCACCACAAAGGAATGATAAATGTTTGAGATGATACATTTACTAATTACCCTGTTTTGATCATTACACAATGTTGGCATGTATGGAAATAGCATTCCCCCCATAAATTGTACCCCATAAATATGTACAATTATTATGTGTCAATTAAAAACAACATAAAACTTCCTTTGGTCCTGCTTATGAAAAGAAAATAAAGTGAAACTTAAAAAGTCCTACCTTACATTCATTTATGTTTTCCGAATGAAATTAAGGCTAAAAGATCCAAAATAGAAATTGAGATTTAAATTAGACCAGTGGTTCTGGAAAAAAAAATTTTTTTTTTTGAGATGGAGTCTCACTGTGTTGCCCAGGCTGGAGTGCAGTGGCACAGTCTTGGCTCACTGCAACCTCTACCTCCCGAGTTCAAGTAATTCTCCTGCCTCAGCCTTCCAAGTAGCTGGGATTACAGGCATGCACCACCATGCCCCACTATCTTTGTATTGCTAGTAGAGATGGGGTTTCACCATGTTGGCCAGGCTTGTCTCGAACTCTTGACCTCAAGTGATCCTCCTGCCTTAGCCTCTCAAAGTGCTGGGATTACAGGCATGAGCCACTGTGATGGGCCTGAAAATATTTTCATCTAGCACCCTCCCCTCTTTCTGTCAGAGCACAAAATAATCAGTGTTGTTTTCACTAAACCTTCACTTTAAAAAGCTGTCAAATTTCCATGTTACCCAGGGAAGAGGCATAGACATGATTGTATTCTTTATAATTCAGCGGAGAAACTAAAGGTGCTGGCAGATGACAGTGGGGTGGGTAATAATACACTAGTAATAGCCCTATTATGAGAATTTTAAAATTTTGACTTGCCAAATAAACTATTGATAAAGTATAGTTAATAAAGAATAGTAGTATCATAAACAGCAATTGCTACCAGCACTAAACACGATTTTTTAAATATTCAAGTCTCTTAGTCCATATCATAATTTCTATCGCTGCTGTACTGGGAAGGGATGATTTAGGATTCAAGCCATTTTTAAAAAGCAAGGCAATTTACTCTTAAATAAAGCAGTTAGGCCTTTCCTTGTTGACAGTTTCTAAGAGTGAACACACATAGATTTAATATAATCTGAGCAGTGTTTTTGTCTCTCCTCCAAAGTGGCTCTGATCAAACTCACTTTTTCTTCCTAGATTCTAGGTCTTCCTCTCTTTCTGCCATACATTTGGTGTAAATGGGGCATGCCTGAAAACTCATAGTAGAATTCAAGTGAATATGGTAATAAGCTGAAGTTAAGTATAGGTCATACAGATGACAAAGAATAGCCTATGAGACAAAACTAGATTTGCCATTACCCCTCCTATCAAAGCATTACATCTGAAGAACCTTTGTAGTAATTTCAAAATAAAGTCCCCATTTTCTGACTCTTAGGATGAAGGAAGTTCTGGCTGTTAGAAACCCAGGGAGCCTTTTGCTACTTAGCCAACCAATAGGGAAGAAAGAAAAATATATCTTCTCTACACATTAAAGAAAATTATGTTTTCTATAGGAGAACTAGTCCTATTTCCTTGGAGGGGTGTAAGGGTCTGTATAAATCCCGTAGCACTCTGTATAGATGAAGTAATTGTGTTTAGGACTGATGTAGCTGGAGCGTGGTAGTGCACGCCTGTGATCCCGGCCATTTGGGAGGCTGAGGTAGGAGGATTGCTTGAGTACAGGAAATTGAGGCTGCAGTGAGCTATGATTGAGACACTGCACGCCAGCCTTGGCTAAAGAACAAGATCCAATCTCAAAACAAAACCAAAAAATAGAACACTGATTTATACTTTTCCAGTGTATCTCTATGGAATGAGCTGAAAACTGTCAGAGATAGCAGCCAAGGTAAGGAAGATTTCCCTCCAATTGAGCTCAATTGTAAAATATAATATGGGAAGAATTTTAGAGAAAGAAGCTTGTGTGTTCTTCCTTTTTTATTGCGGTGACATTTATATAACATACAATTAACCATTTTAAAGTATAGAAGTCAGTGGCATTTAATATATTCACAGTGTTGTGCACCCACCACTTCTTTCTAGTTTTAAAACTCCCCAGAAAAACACTCCATACCTATTAAGTAATTACTCCCCACCCCACTCCCATTTTCCAATAACCACTAACCTGCTTTCTGGATTTGCTTATTGTGGATATGTCATTTAAAAGGAATACAGATTGAGCCTCCCTAATCTGAAAATTCGGAATCATAAATGCTCCCAAATCTGAAACTGTTTGGGCATGGTCATGATGCTCAGTGGGAATACTCACTGGAACATTTTGGATATCAGATTTTCAGATTAGACATGTTCAGTTGGTAAGTCCAATGCAAATATTTCAAAATCTCAAACACTTCTGGTCCAAAGCATTTCAGATAAGGGATATTCAACCTGTAGTATAATATGTGACCTTTTATGTCTGGCTTCTTTCAGTTAGCATTTTTTTTTTTTTTAATTGAGACACAGTCTCACTCTGTCACCCAGGTTGGAGTACAGTGGCGCGATCTCAGTCACTGCAACCTCTGCCTCTTGGGTTCAAGTGATCCTGACACCTCAGCCTCCCAAGCTGTGAGGCGCACACCACCACTCCTGGCTAATTTTTGTATTTTTAAGAGAGATGAGGTTTCACCATGTTGTCCAGGCTGGTCTCAAACTCCTGACCTCAAGTGATCCACCTGTCTCAGCCTTCCAAAGTGCTGGGATTACAGGCGTGATCCACTGCACCTGGCCTGTTAGTGTAATATTTAGAGGTTCATGTATCAGTTGTAGCACATATCAGAACTTCATTCTTTTTTATGGCTGAGTAAGATTCCATTGTATGGATACACTGCAGATTGTTTATCCATTCATCCACTGATGGGCATTTGGGTTGTTTCACCTTTTGTCTATTATGAATAGTGCTGTTGTAAACATTCACATACAAGTTTCTGTGTGGATATATAATTTCAATTCTCTTGAATATATACTAGGGAGTAGAATTGCTGGATCATTTGGTAATTCTATGTTTAACTTTTTGACACCCACGAAGCTGTTTTCCACAGTGGCCGTACCATTTTACATTTCAATCATCAGTGTACTAGGATTCCTATTACTTCATATCATCACCAACATTTGTTATTTTCTGTTCATTTTATTTTGTTTTGTAAAATCCATCCTAGTGCATGTGAAGTGGCACCTCATTGTCTTGGTTTGCATTTCCTTAATGACAGTGAGATTGAGTGGTTTTTCGTGTCCTTGGCTGCTTGTACATCTTCTTTGGAGCAATGTCTATTCAGATCCTTTGCCCATTTTTAAAATTGGTTTGCATATATTTTGTTGTTGAGTGGTAAGAAGTCCTTAAATATTCTGGGTACTAAACCCTTATCGGATCTGTGATTTGCATATATTTTTTTCCATTCTGTAGGTCGTCTTTCACATTTTTGATAGTGTTCTGTACACAATGTGCTCTCTTTTTCTGGAAGTGCAGAAAAACATATCCTTGGGAAATATCTGTGAACTTGCATAAAAGCAGCCCTCACTGCAGCTTACACCATTACTTATTGTTATATTTGCATTTTATTTTCCTCTTTAAATACGTGGATTGTTTATTCTCATGTCTCTCTACCTGAGGGCTGAAGCAAAGCATTTGGCTGCCCTTTCAGTTAAAAATATGGAGACCCTGTAGAAAATAGTAGTTGATAATACAATATTTCAAAATTAAAAATGTCCATTGAGATGTGAATAAAATGAAGCATGATATTAAAAAGTACAATGTTATTGAGGAACAGAAAACCACATACCGCATGTTCTCACTCATAAGTGGGAGTTGAACAATGAGAACACATGGACACAGAGAGGGCAACAACACACACAGGGCTTGTTGTGGGGTAGGGGGTGGGGGGTGAGGAGAGGGAACTTACAGGACGGGCCAATAGGTGCAGGAAACCACCATGGCGCACATATATCTATGTAACAAACTTGCACTTTCTGCACATGTAGCCCCCCCCTTTTTTTTTTTTAGAAGAAATTTCTTTTAAAAAGAAATACAGTGTTATTTTACCATTTTAAGTTCTACCCTTAGACCTAAAGTTGTTGAGGACTGTCTGATTGTCACAAAGGGAGATGAGTAGGAATGACCCCACCAAGACCATTTTGAAAAGAATATACTGGTGCTTTTTATTCTTGTACATTCATCTTGAAGACATTTAGTAATTAAACAAAAAAACAAAGCTGATTTGTATATTTTTATTTTTCAGAAACTTACTCAAGTTTATAGAACTCTTCATGGAGCTTACACAAAAATTCTGGAAGTTATGCACACAAAAAAGAGACTTTTAGGCACTTTCTTCAGAGTTGCCTTTTATGGCCAAGTAAGTGTACTTGAGTTCATAACGTTTTCCTTTTTAAACATTCACCTTTGAATTACTAGTTTACTGTAGCAGCTAGGATTCTGTCCAGATAGAGTGCCTATTACAACAGCAGAGAGCCTCTTTTGTATGTATAAAGTTCACTTTGGTTCTCGTATCTAAATCCTTCAGGTCAGAATACGACAGAGAAGGTTTTGATTTCTGTCAGCTTCATTTTCTGTTAAGCTTTTTAAAGTACATATTAAATATATAGTAGTTAAAACTTTTAAATAAAAAACAGGTAAGTGTACAGGGAAGGAAAAAACCTAGTTTGGAAATCTTCCTCAGACCATATGTTTATATGATTATAAATTTGAAAATTATCAGGAATTTGAAAATTCTCATGTATTTGAAGTTCAAAGGGTAAATACATGCATGGGACTTTTAGTAATATTATTCAAAATGTGTTTCAAATATATTATTACTAGTTATTTAATATATTTTCTTTACATGTTGTGTTTGCTCATATTATTTATAAGTTATTATTTGTTTAACTTTATAATAGTCTTTTTTTGAAGAAGAAGATGGAAAGGAGTACATCTATAAAGAACCAAAGCTCACTGGCCTCTCAGAAATTTCCTTGAGACTTGTTAAACTTTATGGTGAAAAGTTTGGCACGGAGAACGTCAAAATAATTCAGGATTCAGACAAGGTAACACATACCCTGCATTTTGAAATCATTATTTGCTAGTTCCAGGCATTGTACATTGCTCCTGACTTTTTCCTTTTTTAACTGGTAGAGAAGCATGAAAATAGAGCTTTCCAGATAATAAAAGAAAGAACAGGGGTTTTGGAGTCAGAGATAACAGGTTTCAAATCTCTACTCTCTGCCACGCACTAGCTGTGTGACCATGGGGAAGGTACTTAACTCTCTGTGCTTCATCGTTCTTAGTAATAAAGTGGAGATAATAATAGCAGTATTTTCCTCATGAGGTTGTTGTATGGATTAGATGAGTTAATATACGGAAAGTATAATCACTTTCCTGGTACATAAAAAGCATTCGCTAATAATAACAAGCTAGCGTGCTCACTAAAGGGTTAGATATTATCGTAAATGCTATTGTACATCATGATTCTCCATTACATCATGATTAAAATCCTCTTGGAGCACACATTTTACTCTAAGATGTCCCTGGTTCAGTAATAGTGACTGTAGTTAACATTTGCAATGAAGTAGGTTTAGGAGAGATCCTTGAGCCTTGCTCTAAAAGTTATCCATCCCTCTGGGCCCTGCCAAGACATAGTGAGAAGGCTTACATCATAGCAAGAGAGGCCCTTTCCTAGGAAATGCATAGTTCTCTATAGACAGGATTTGGGGGAAGCACTGTAGGAATGCCTAACTGTCCTTAGTTGCCTTGGGTATGCCCAGACTTAGAGCTGATTTTTAAGGGTAGGAAGGACATATAAAATTGAAGATTTGTATCCAAAGCAATATTTACTGAGTGACTATGATAAGCACAGTGCTATGCAGAACACTTAAAAGCTAGCAGGAAGCATCACCATCGTGAAAAAGCCCATGGCTATTGTAAAGACACTTCATTGTCTACCATGAAAATAATCTCTTCACTTTGTAGACTTACATATATCTCTTGGAGATGACTTTGTCTTAAACATAAACCTAAGACATTTAAAAATAGATTTGGTGGTAGTTTCAAACGTAATATATGGCAAACACTCTCTACTTCTTATCAGTTTCACTCTTTTGTGTTGTTTCATTGCATTGAAACAACAGAAGATTTTCTCCCCTTGCAGCCAGATAGTGTTAGACTTGTTCCCACAGCATTGATTACTGTATAAATGGAAAGGTAACGGAAAGTCAGACTTTCTGTGCAACATGCAGTTTTCTACCTTATTCTGCCTCTGAAAACTGGGCCAAAGAATGCTAGTGACAAACCACTATCAGGTGGCTGGACCCTGATGTTTGTTATGTATCATGTTTTAGTAGTTCCCTATAGGCAACAGGCATAATAAGCAGTTCCTGCTTTTAAAATATATTTATTGTTTTCTCAGTGTGCGAAAGTGAAAATTTAAAATACTCTTTTCCCTTGCCAAAGAACAAAATCTGCATAAGGGCAAAGGCAATTTGAAGAGGAATTTGGCAATGTCTTCCAATATTTTAAATGTATGTGTCCTTGGACCCAGCAATTTCACATTTAACATTTTATCTTGTAGATGTACACATATAAATATATATGGTTAAAGTTGTTCACTGCCACAACATTTATATAGCAAAAACCTGGAAGCAGTCTAAGCGTCCATATGGCTGAAGAAATGGTGGTCTTACCCGTATAATGGATATAACCACCTAGGCATTAAAAAGCACGAGAGATTTGTAAGTGTCCATATGAGAACCTATCAAGATACATATTTTTTTCTTTTCTTTTTCTTTTTTTTTTTTTTTTTCCGAGACAGGGTCTCGCTCTGTTGCCCAGGCTGGAGTGCATTGGTGCCATCTTGGCTCACTGCAACCTCTGCCTCCTGGGTTTAAGCAATTCTCCCGCCTCACCCTCCCTAATAGCTGGGATTACAGGCGCCCACCACCACGCCTGGCTAATTTTTGTATTTTTAGTAGAGATGGGGTTTCACCATGTTGGCCAGGATGGTCTCGAACTCCTAACCTCAAGTGATCCACCCGCCTCAGCCTCCCAAAGTTCTGGGATTACAGGCCTGAGCCACTATGCCTTGCCGCTTTTAATTTTTTTCAAGACAGGGTCTGGCTCTGTCGCCCAGGCTGGAGTGCTCTGGCAGGATCACAGCTCACCGCAGCCTTGACCTCCTGGGCTCAAGCGATCCTCCCACCTCAGCCTCTTGAGTAGCTGGGACTACAGGTGTGTACCACCACACTTGGTTAATTTTTGTTTCTTGTGTTTTTTTTTTTTTTCTGTAGCGATGGGGTCTCACTATGTTGCCTAGGCTGGTCTCAAACTCCTGGGTTCAAGCAATCCTCCTGTCTTAGCCTCCTGAATAGGTGGGACTACGGGTGTGTTGCCACCATACCCCAGCTAACTTTTTTATGTTTCTTAGAGACAGGATCTTGCTATGTTGCCCAGGCTGGTCTCAATCTCCTGCGCTCAAGCAGTCCTCCTGTCTTGGCCTCCCAAGCCTTGGGACTACAGGCATGAACCACTGCACCTGGCCCGATGTAAATCTTTTAACTAAGCAATTTCTTTTCTAGGAATTTATACTAAGGAAAAAATCAGAAAAAAGTGCACACAGTTTTAAACACAAAGATGTTCATCAGAACTTTATTTACAATAGCAAAAAGTTGGAAAACAGCCTGTCTCCACTAATGAGAGAATGGTCCAATAAGTCACGTTTATCCATACAGCCATTAAAAGTAATGTCAGTGACTATAGTACAAACTGTTGGCCAGACATGGTGGCTCATGCCTATAATCTCAACACTAGGAGGCTGAGGCAGGAGTATCACTTGAGCCCAAGAGTTCCAAGCTAGCCTCAGCAACACAGCCTCTACAAAAAAAAAATTTAAAAATTAGCCAGGTGTGGTAGTGCATGTCTGTGGTCCCAGTTACATGGGAAACTGAAGTGGGAGGATCACTTGAGCCCAGGAGGCTGAGGCTGCAGTGAGACATGATCACACCACTGCACTTGAGCCTGGGCAACAGAGCAAGACTCCATCTCAAAATAAATAAATAAATAAGCTATGATACCTGTGTTTTTATTGAGGTGTAATTCACATAATGCACAATCAAAACAATGTTTAGTATGACCTCAATTTTCTGAATACATATACATAGAAGAAAGATTAGAAGGAAATATATAAAAATGTGAATAATGGTCATTGCTGGGTAGTAGGATTACAGTTGTTTGTTTTTTTTTTTAATTTTTGTTTTTATTTATTTATTTTTTGAGACGGAGTCTTACCTTGTCACCCAGACTGGAGTGCGGTGGCGCAATCCCGGCTTACTGCAACCTCCGCCTCCCAAGCTCAAGTGATTCTCCTGCCTCAGCCTCCTGAGTAGCTAGGACTACAGGCGCATGCCACCCTGCCCAACTAATTTTTGTGTTTTTAGTAGAGACGAGGTTTCACCGTGTTGGCCAGGCTGGTCTCAAACTCCTGACCTCAAGTGATCCGCCTGCCTCGGCCTCTTAAAATGCTGGGATTACAGGCATGAGCCACCGTGCCCGGCCAATTACAGTAATTTTTAATTTCTCCATATGTTTCTGTAGTCTCCAAATAGATTTCTGTAACTTCTTTATAATCAGAAGTAAGAAGTAAGTGATTTTTAAAAAGAATGAAGACCCCCCTTTACTGGAAACACAATTATAATGGCAATGTTCCTCACTTGGTCTCAAAGAAGTTAGTAGGTTACCTTATCTCCTTTTCCCTTCCATTGAATAGGATTTAAAAAAAAAATAATAAATTAAATTTTTTTAAAAAAACCTTTCTTATTTTATAGGTAAATGCCAAAGAGCTTGATCCAAAATATGCTCATATACAAGTTACTTACGTGAAGCCTTACTTTGATGACAAAGAACTCACAGAAAGAAAGACCGAGTTTGAAAGAAATCATAATATCAGCAGATTTGTTTTTGAGGCCCCTTACACTTTATCAGGCAAAAAACAAGGCTGTATAGAAGAACAGTGCAAACGCCGTACAATCTTGACAAGTAAGTACAGTTTTACATGTTAACTTCTTATTTGTCTTGGTCTTTTTCAGTATACACGAGTAGCAGCTGGCCAGCTGGACCATATAACTGAAATTTTAATTATTATTTGTTCTGCTGTTCAGTTACAAGTTAGCACAAGCACGTCCATGTGATAAACCATCATTTTTCCATATGTCATCTATGATTGCCCAGAGGTGTCTCATAAAGAGAATTTCTCTCTGAATCCTGAAGTACTATATGGGACCCTCAGTCATCTTCTAGATAAAGCACGGGGAGAGTTAAGCACAATAGAGTTTTTTCTTTAATTTGGCTATTTGAACAAATGATTTTCTAAAGACAGTAAATCAATCTTAACATTTTAATAGCTTCAAACTCGTTTCCCTACGTGAAGAAGAGGATTCCTATTAACTGTGAACAGCAGATTAATTTAAAACCAATTGATGTTGCCACTGATGAAATAAAAGACAAAACTGCAGAGCTGCAAAAGCTTTGCTCCTCTGCTGACGTGGACATGATTCAGCTCCAACTTAAATTGCAAGGCTGTGTTTCTGTGCAGGTACGCTGGTCGTCCAACATGTGTTAAATGTTTCTTGATGTTTCTTTTGCTTTTATAAGGGCACAGAGCAAGCATTAATTGTAATTGTGTGTTGGGCACTTACTGAGTGCAAAAACCTGTGCATTATTTTTTATTCACCTAATGAAGATATTACATTGAATTTTTATAAGTTTTGTGTTATGTCAGAGGACTTTAACATAAGTCTGATGACTGTAGCGAAGCCCTGTATGTACATATCAGAAATCACTCACTAGAATATCATCTTTGTAGATTATTTTCTTTAGTGAATGGTTTTTCGAAATAAACTTGTAATAAGCATATATTTCTCAGATATGGATTTCTTGTATATTTTTGGATTTTTAATAAAAAAGAGAAATGCCAAAACTTCTTTGATTATTGCATTCTGGAAACACTCTAATTTTTCTTCTATTGTAATGTAGGTCAATGCTGGTCCATTAGCATATGCAAGAGCTTTCTTAAATGACAGCCAAGCTAGCAAGTATCCACCTAAGAAAGTGAGTGAGTTGAAAGACATGTTTAGGTAAGTGGTTTATAGTTTTCAGGTTAGACCCGTATTCTTTTTCTCTATTTTCTTCTTTTAAAAAACAGCAAAGTATTGACCAAATGATACCCCTCCAAAAAGGGATATTCTCTGTGGTCTTTTACAATGTCTAAGTGACCTCCTAAGGGCACTTTAAGTAATGAGAAAATGTGTGATCTGTTTCATCCTGCAGGACGTTAACAATACCCTAGTGACCCAAGAGATTAAATCTTCCAGTTTACTATATTGCTTTGGATATTTTAAGTGACACAAACACAAGCCTATGTTCCTTATGTGCTTTCCTTCTTCACCCAGTTGACCTCCTGTTACAGCATGTCAGACCATTTGGGGTAGGAATAGAAGTGGGGCAGGAAAGATTGCATATGCTCACTCCAATCCCCTGTCCTTACTTCCACTTGGACGCTGCCAAACTAGGGCATGCAATATCTTGTCTTCAGTGAGCAGCTCTGTAAGCTAAGGCATGTATGAATGCTCTTACATTAGAGAAATCTCTTTAATATATAAAAGTTTTCATTCAGAAGAAGAGAAACAGTTGAGTAATATGGACTAAGGAGAAAGATGATAACCTATCCACTCATTTGCTCCCGACTTATTTTGTTTACTTTTCCTGTCTGTGTTTTATCAGCTGTTCCAGGGTGCAGAGTAACTAGTAGTCATTCATTCACCAGTATTTATTAATGCCTGGTACATGCAAAAGACTATTAGTTGCTATGACAGGGATATAAAACAAATGGACAGTGAAGTACTTTGTCCCCTAAGACCTACACTCTAATTGTGGACATTAAACATAAACACATGAAATAATGGAAAAATACTTTTATGATAGGTCATCAACTCTCTGTTCTCCTTAGCAGCCCAGGGAAGATCCTTCATACCTGTACCACCCAGCACTGTACTAGCCACATAGTAAGCTCAAAATAAATTCTTTTTGAATGAATGACTCATTATCTACAGGTGCAAATTAATGTCAGCACAACTTTAGCTGATAGAATGCCAAGTAAATGATTGAGCAAGTAGGCTTTCCAGAGGGTATGTGTTTTGAGCCAAGTCTTGAAGGAGATAAGAAACAAAACCATAAGGCAAAGGTGGAAAGGAAAGAAGGCATTTCAGATTTAGGAAGAGACATTAATAAATGCATGGTGAGAAAAGAGAGGATTCTGATCTTCTTTCTAGGCGAGCCATGGCTAAACTGAGTTACCAAGTGGATTGTCAGTGAGACTTCCTAAGAATAAATAATAAAACCTTTATCTTTGATATTCATCCATAGGAAATTTATACAAGCATGCAGCATTGCACTTGAACTAAATGAGCGGCTAATTAAAGAAGATCAAGTTGAGTACCATGAAGGGCTAAAGTCAAATTTCAGAGACATGGTAAAAGAATTATCTGACATTATCCATGAGCAGGCAAGTATTAGGGTGACTGAAACTGAAAACATGATCTGCGGGTCCCGAAATTGTTGCTTAGCAAAATATAATGGTTCAAAATGCATAACCTTAAAGTCTATATTTTAAATTTTTTCCATATTATCTTTAATCATTTAAGTGATACAATACAAATAAAATTTGCAGCAATTGTCTGAAGTGGTTAGTGATGCGATTATCAGTAAGAAACCATTTTGTTTTTTGTGCTCCAGTGTCATTAGAAGCGAGAGGTTGAACTGAGGTATACCATTATCAAATAGACTACATAGTTTGTTTTTAGAAACTATCTAGTTGATGAGTTTCTATTCCTCATAATGCACAGAAAAAGCAGCAAAAATTCCTCCTTCACAAAAGATGTAAGACAATTGCGCATGCTATTTTAAGTGAATATCTACTAGATTACAGTTATTTCATTTGCATGCGGCTGCATGACCTAGTGTTGAACTCTAAATTATTCAAATTGAAAACAAATTATTCAGTTTACTGTTATTACTGTGATCAAGATATTCTGAGTGGCCATTTTATAAAATTTTGTTTTCCTTTTGAAGCATGGATTTTTCAAATCTCACTTGTCTGTATCAGTTATTCCTATAAAACATGGCTATTTCTCTTAGATATAGAGACCAATAATTTAGATGCTTAATATTATGTATTGATAGCTAACCAAGAAAACTCTTAGTTTCTATTGGCTTATATTTATGCAAGCCATCCTGTCATTATGAACCATACTTGGGTGTGCCTTACTTTTGGCAAATGTTGACTTTATAGTGAATCGAGTTTCATATCAAAGAGAGCCACTTTGTAGTCATACACTTTGAGGCATATATTAATACTGAAAAATAAGACAAGTGTTAATGTGTACTGAAATTTGAAATATTCTCTTGAGCTCCATAAACGATTACTTGACAAAAAGTCATGGCTGGATATTTCTAGTCCCCTTTCAATGTAATCTGTTACAGAATACCAGAGTATATAGTCCTTTCAAAAAATTCAATCTTTTGATTTTTTTTTTTCTTTCTTTTTTTGAGACAGAGTCTCACTCTGTCGCCCAGGCTGGAGTGCAGTGGCGCAATGTCAGCTCACTGCAGCCTCCGCCTCCTGGATTCAAGTGATTCTTCTGCCTCAGCCTTCCGAGTAGCTGGGACTACAGACACGTGCCACCACACCTGGCTAATATTTTGTATTTTTAGTAGAGATTAGGTTTCACCATGTTAGCCAGGATGGTCTCGATCTCCTGACCTCGTGATCCACCTGCCTCGGCCTCCAAAAGTGGTGGGATTACAGGCGTGAGCCACTGCACCTGGCTGCTTTTGATTTTTAAAAGGATTTATATTGTCATAAAGCTATAAATTGCAGTTTTCTTAGATAGAGTTGGGGGTGGTCATTGTAGCATCTGTTGAGTATGTTTCGTAATTTCTTAGCAATAAGTACCCTCCTTGCCTGTCACATCTGACCAGCATAGATAATCAATTATTCATCTCTTAATATTCTAGTATGCTTTCAGATTAGTGTCACAAGTTAATATTTTTGTAAGAGGAAATTTCTCTATTATAAATTTTATTTAAGCCTTATGATTTGTAGCAACACAAATGGTATGTCTCAGTACTGCCACTATAGATCAGTCTGTGGGCTTAATACTGAAGTTTCACAACTAACTTGAGAACCAAGTATTGAAAGCTTGAGACCTGTGTTAGGACTTTATGGTAAAGAGACTGGATATAATGTATTTACCATTTTTTACCTCAATCTACTTTAAGTACAAGATTTCTGTTGCCTTTTCTTTGGATTACACAAAATGGATCATTTAAAAAATATTTAAACTAATATGAGTATCTATGTTTATATACTTATTGGAATACAATCTTTAAATTTTATATTTATAAAGTTCTTCCTTTCCAAGAAAAATCTTCTATATCAATTAGCTTATACAATTATAGTGTGTCTTTAGAAATGTGCACTTCAGACTTTTATCTTCATTTGCTATTATTTTCAAGTCTCCAGGGAAGGAACATGGGTATCTGCATGTTTCAAAAGTCCCATAGATGATTCTGAGAACCACTGTGTTAGATCATTCATAAACTCATATCAGAGTCTACCGTTTAGAGCTCTTGTTATAACCATCCGTTAAAAAATATTTTAAAGATTGTGTTACCTCGCTTTTTGTTGAATTTTGTATTTTACAGTCTTTGTTTTTCTTAATGAGTAACTAGGTATTTTCTGCTTTTTTGATATGCTGCCTTTGTAATACAGCTGTGAAGACTTAAGTCGGTAATGTTATTCTTTGCTCCCTCTGCTTTCTGTCTTTTTAAATAACTAAGTGTCAGTGATAAATTGAAATATGCCTGCAATTTCATATACACATTCTATTTTTGGCAATGGCTTCATGATAACCATGCTGATTTCTTTTGTTTTAGATATTACAAGAAGACACGATGCATTCTCCCTGGATGAGCAACACATTACATGTATTTTGTGCAATTAGTGGTACATCAAGTGACCGAGGTTATGGTTCCCCAAGATACGCTGAAGTGTGAGGAAATGCAGATGTACGTGACAATGAGACTGACCTTTCTCAGGAATATTTGGAGCTGTGCAAATGTTAAAATTTAAAGATTTGATATACATGGAGTGTTTCTTCTCGACACCAAAATTTTCATGTGTTCCAACAGGGTGCTTACGTATTTGTAAATAAGCAACTTGAAAGTGCCTGGAAAATTGCACCACTGTGCTTGGTTTGTACTTTTTTAGGTAAATCTATATGCTGAAAAGTAGAGCTCAAAAACAGTAGTTCAATTTGCTTAATTATTGCTTAAAATAATAATGGTACTATGTAAAATTGTATAATGGAATACAATAAAAGGTAAAACTTATTTGTAATTAGAAGTGAAAGAAATAATACTTTGAACTTAGCATTTTTCTTGACAAGAAGCTCAACTCATTATCATAGTAATCTTTGGTAGGAGGAGAAGAAAATTGGTAACATTTCCATAATACATGGACATTTAAAATTGGGGAGATCATTTGAATCCTTGCCAATTAGTAGTCAAGGCTGGGCTAAAGGAACTAAAAGCATTATTTAACAGGAAAATTTCAAAAGGAAAGGATATACTTATAAATATACCAAGCTTAGGCTGGGCGCGGTGGCTCACACTTGTAATCCCAACACTTTGGGAGGCTGAGGCAGGCGGATCATGAGGTCAGGAGTTCAAGACGAGCCTGACCAACATGGTGAAACCCCTTCTCTACTAAAAATACAAAAATTAGCCGGGCATGGTGTTGCATGCCTGTAATCCCAGTTACTAAGGAGGCTGAGGCAGGAGAGTCTCGTGAACCCAGGAGGTGGAGGTTGCAGTGAGCCGAGATCACGCCACTGCACTCCAGTCTGGGCAACAGAGTGAGACTCCATATATATAACATACATATAATAGTAAGCTTGAGATAACATATATATATGTTATGATCTGATGATGCCAGGTAATCTTGTAGGTCTCCCTTCTACATACAAGACATGCAAGGGATTTATACAGGGCAAGCAGCATTTGTTGCCAAAGCTTTATCATCTGGGGCCATCTACAAAGCTAAACAAAACATTCCTGAGATTACAGTCAGTACATACCACAGAACTTCAAAACTTTGACAGCAGTCTGAGGTAGGAATTTGTAATGATTATTTTCTTCAGTTATAAAATTAATAAACATTTTGATTAGAACTTAATGGTCGCAGCATGTCTTGGGTCAATGTACAAAACCACCACAGATTTGGCATACTAGCTTGGGATTATATTTCTATCTATGAAGAAATCTCAGATTGCCTAAATAATTCGGAGAAACCAAGATGTGAATGATGTTTTTAGCTTGAAGAATTCATATAATTTTGGCTACCTTCTATGGGAACTTCAGATTCTAGACTTCTTTTTTTTTTTTTTTTTTTTTTTTGAGATGGAGTCTCGCTGCAATGCCCAGGCTGGAATGCAATGGCGTGATCTCAGCTCACTGCAACCTCCACTTCCCAGGTTCAAGCGATTCTCCTGCCTCTGCCTCCCAAGTAGCTGGGACTACAGGTGTGCACCAGCACGCCTGGCTAACTTTTATATTTTTAGTAGAGATGGTGTTTCACCATATTGGCCAGGCTGGTCTCGTACTCCTGACCTCAAATGATCTGCCTGCCTCGGCCTCCCAAAGTGCTGGGTTTACAGGCATGAGCCACCATGCCCAGCTTACACTTATTTTCCTTATGTGGTTTAGCCTATTTTACAGATTAAAAAAACAGTCACTGAAATATAAATGGATTCCACGGGGCCTTGGCTTTTTGAGCACTTTTTGATCAAGTAAATCCTAGAGATTATGCTCCTGGCCTGGCCATTTTTCTTTTCACTTTTTTGGGGGGACCATTTTTTCTTTCTTTCTTTCTTTCTTTTTTTTTTGAGATGGAGTCTCGCTGCAATGCCCAGGCTGCTGGAATGCAATGGCGTGATCTCGGCTCACTGCAACCTCCACCTCCCAGGTTCAAGCGATTCTCCTGCCTCAGTCTCCTGAGTAGCTGAGATTACAGGTATGTGCCACCACCCCGGCTAATTTTTGTATTTTTAGTAGAGACAGGGTTTCACCATGCTGGTCAGGCTGATCTCGAACTCCTGACCTTGTGATCCACCTGCCTCAGCCTCCAAAAGTGCTGGGATTACAGGTGTGAGCCACCACGTCCAGCCCATTTTTTCTTTATATGTCATTTTTAAGCTTTCAGGAGAGCATGAACTTATTTATTAAAAGTTAATTTTGTATTTTAATAGGGGACTCACAAGTATTTCTGAGGCAGTTTATAATTCCTTAATATCTTAAAGTAACCTGTAGAGTTAGTTTCACCTTTAAAGTGATTGTATTTGGTATGTATGTGTGAGGAATTATCACCTCTAGTAAATGCTGCAATCTGAAAGTTTGGCATCTTGAGGAGACTCCAGCACCCTTCTGTCTGTAACTAGTCCCTGTCACAGCCCCCAGCACAGCAATATGCACTGTGGGTAGATTTTTTTAATGTAATAAATGGCCCCTATTGCCAAGGATCTTGCAGTCTAGTTGAGAAAGCAAGATACACAAAATTAAATAGTACAAGAATTAACAATGTAAGACAGGAAAAGTCATATATGAGTATTGCCAAATGAATGACAGCATTCATAACTCAATCACATTCAAAGAAGGAGAGATCACTGTGAATTGCAAATGTTCAGGGAGGGTTTAGTGAAGAAAAGTTAAGCTTTGAACAGGCTTCCAAAGAGGGAGAGGGGAATTCTAGGCAGGAGGAACACCATAAGCAAAGGTGCAAAAAGAATTTGTGGAGGTTCAGGGGATGGTAAGGAGACCAGTTTTGTCCAAGAGGTGGTAGATGATAAATGTAGAAAATACAGGCTGTGCGTGGTGGCTCATGCCTGTAATCCCAGCACTTTGGGAGGCTGAGACAGGCAGATCACTTGAGCCCAGGAGTTCAAGACCAGCTTGGCCAACATGGTAAAACACCATCTCTACTAACAATACAAAAAAAAAAAGTTAGCCAGGCATAGTGGTACACACCTGTAATCCCAGCTACTTGGGAGGTTGAGGCACAAGAATCGCTTGAACCCGGGAGGCAAAGGTTGCAGTGAGCCTAGATCATGTCATTGCATTCCAGCCTGGGCAGCAGAGTGAGATTCTGTCAACAACAACAACAAAAAAAAGAAGAAGAAAGAGAGAAAGAGAGAGAAGAAAGAGAGGGAGGGAAGGGAAGGGAAGAGGGAAAGGAAGAAAGGAAGGAAAGAGGGAAGGGAAGGAAGGAAGAAAGGAAAATACATTTGGACGGAGATTTTGGAAGGTGTTGAATACCAGGCTAATGGTATTTGGAGTTTACTCAATAGGCATGGGAGAGCTAGCCAAGGTTTTTAAACAGATTACTTAATTAAATGTTATTTTTGGAAATGTAATCTTTTATATTGCTGCCAGATGTATTTGAGGTAGAGAGAGATGGAAATTAGGAAACCAGTTACATAGATATTGCAATGAACTAAATTCAATAAACCTCTAGATGTGAGGGATACGGCAAGAATGGAGAAGAAAGGACGAGTCCCAGAGACATTATGTGGAAGGACTAGATAAGACTCGTTGGATGGCCAAGGGGGGGGAAAAAAAAAAAAGAAATGTGAAAGATAATTTTGTGTCCTGTGACCAGTGAGTTTGCACAAGTTCACTAGATTTATTTTTCCAACTTTCAGACTAAAGGTAGCAAGCTGTAGAGAACAGGGTGGGCTCGAATAGAGAAAGCTAGGTAAATCTGTTTTTTAAACACTACATGTATTAGACATTAAAGTGTATATAGTTCAATTATTTCTTGAAGTGATTTGTCCTCTACAAATTAATTCACACCAAAGAATACATTTCTGCTATACTGATTGTTTTGCAGTTAAACTTGAGTCCAATTTCCCCTGGAAGTTGTTGTTTTGATAGGCTTTGAACATACTGTGAAATGTGATTAAGTCACCCTTGGTAGTGTTAGTTTATCACTATGGTGAAAAACCATAGAGAAAATAAGAAATTCCATGTAAATTTTCCTAGTAACCAGTTGTCACCTATGGCATCATGTATATAGATGGGATTGTTATTGTTACTGTATTTATATGATTTGGCTGCCTATCAAAATATTACATATTTTCAAAAGTGAAACAGAAAGCATCAGTGGTAGTAATGTCCTTGGAACCTTGACCAACAACACATCATCCTAGAACTAGAGATGATTCTAATTTAGTTTCTTACTAGAGACCGGGCGCAGTGGCTCACGCCTGTAATCCCAGCCTTTGGGAGGCTGAGGCGGGTGGATCACGAGGTCAGGAGATCGAGACCATCCTGGCTAACACGGTGAAACACCATCTCTACTAAAAATACAAAAAATTAGCCGGGCATGGTGGCAAGCACCTGTAGTCCCAGCTACCCAGGAAGCTGAGGCAGGAGAATGGCGTGAACCTTGGAGGCAGAGCTTGCGGTGAGCAGAGATCGCGCCACTGCACTCCAGCCTGGGCAACAGAGCAAGGCTCCATCAGAGACAGAGAGAGAGAGAGAGAGAGAGAGAGAGAGAGAGAGAGAAACAGAAACTAGATAGGTCATCATAATAAGAACCCACATTTAAAGAAAACACACATTTTGTATCTTTTTTTCTTCTAACTTTTAAGTTCAGGGGGTACATGTGCAGGTTTGTTACATGAGTAAATTATGTGTCACTCAAACCTAAGCTTTTTATTATAAATGTTAGCTTTCTCTGAGATGAAGAACCTGAGTGATGTAATAGATTAATAGGAATTTCCAAACTATTCAAAACATTAATAATTAGACATATGTCACGGGCTTCTGATCTGCAAAATGTTGGGCTACCTTTAGTCTCAGTCTTGTTCTAACAGTACACTAGTTCAGCTCTCAAAAGACAAGGAGAGGAAAAGAGTAAAAGTTGGTTGTGGATGGACAGCGGGTTTGTGTAACAAAGCTATACCCCTATCCTGGGAGTTGGTGAGTAAGAGTGCTTTATTTATCTGTTTTTTTCTAGTCCCTAAGCACTTAATGGTCACTCTCTAAAAAAAGTGTATCTATGTTTGTTCATCTCCTAATTGGAGTCGTGGCTAAGTTCTTTAAAGATTTTGCCTCTGTGCATGGCATTTTAAAACTTCTCCAATTTTTTTTTGCTTTGTTTTTCCTTTTTATTGAGATATAATTCACATACCATAAAATTTACTCATTTAAAGTACACAATTCAGTGTTTTTAAAAATTACATCCACAGAGTTGTGCAAGTATCACTACAATTTAAAACATTTTTATCACCTGAAAAAGACCCCATACTCATTAGCAGTCACTCCTACCAGTCATCTTCC